CATAAAGACATATTAACGGATCTGCACAACTAGTTCCACATGTAACTAGCAACGTAAACACGTTCTACGCTCTCCTTGAAACGTTCTGGTACAACGTTGCAACGTATGATCTTGGCGCATGCGCAGTCACGCGTGCATATTGAACTACCTTTGTGCAAACGCGCATACACTTACATGACATGTAAATGTAGCCGCAAGGTTGTAAGCTGTGTTTCAGCCGTGTCAGTGTAACTTGACGTCAATGGCATAAAGAGGAGAAACACGTACAATGCAGGCCCGACTGTGCAGCGACCTTGACCTTCATTATGAAGGCTGAAATGGCCGGCATGACATTCAACACCAGGTGTCCTCACCTCTGTAGTGGTGTTCGACAACAATATATTTGGCCCTCTTTATTCGCCGTTTTGGTGTCAAGTGCACATTGACAACCTGTGTTGTCAATGTTTGACTATGTTCGAAAGGCCTACATATGTTGTCAATGTTTCACTATGTTCCAAAGGCCTACATATGTTGTCAATGTTTGACTATGTTCTAAAGGTCAACATATCTTGTCAAGGTTTAACTATGTTCTAAAGGCCAACATATCGTGTCAAGGTTTGACTGTGTTCTGAAGGCCAACATATCTTGTCAAGTTTTGACTGTGTTCTAAAGGCCAACGTGTCTTGTCAATGTTTGACTATATTCTAAAGGCCAGCATATCGTGTCAAGGTTTGACTATATTCTAAAGGCCAGCATATCGTGTCAAGGTTTGACTATGTTCTGAAGGCCAACATATCTTGTCAAGGTGTAGACAGTACTGGCCGGTCTCGACATGCGTGGATTAGAAGGCATGTATTATAGATTCTTGACACACCTAACATGATTTCCTTCAAATATAGACTAAAGAAGCATCAATAAGTGAATATGATTGATATTCCCCCAAAAATATCACTAGTATTATTAGTATTACTAGTTTTAGACACTAATTAATATGTGGAATTATTAATTAACATCTCCATTGTTAATTATCAACCTTCATAAAAATATCCTCAAAATAAACATATTAGAATTTATATGTGGACAAGATCGTTTCGACATTACCGACACTTGCATTCCTCTGTGGAGCATCATCAGCATCAACAGTCGTTGATGCCATGGACGTTGTGGACGTCGTCAGCAACGAAAAAGCAATGTAAACATCCCTATTCAAATGGCAACTAAGCTCACAAAACGGCAGTAGTCCGTGGTTGTAAATATTGAACGTACCTCTGCTTCAATATTTACCTGTGTCCATAATTACTTTGTATTCGTGGATAGCGAATCAATACTCCTGCATGGGGATTATGCAATTGTTCCCTTGTGATTGTTCCACTGCACCTATATTATAATACATTATGGGTTGCAATATTGACAAACAGATACTGTAGATAGCTTTATGAGCGCTGATGCCGAGGATCCAGAAAAAGCTACATGCTTTGAGACTTTATGTTTACGATCTTTCAGTTTGATGTTGTATTGCTCTTTGCAAGTCTTTTTTCATAGTTACACAAAATATAGTTCTTTAAACCTGATACAGAGTCTGGAAGTAACGATGTAATATTGGCATCGAATGTGGAAGATACAATACTGTCAAACATCGTTGTGTCGAAGCTGGAGGGACCAAGGTAAATACTTCGAGGTTAGACACAACCTCAAAATGATGATTAAACAAGGAATACGCAGGATTTTACTTTTACTTCGAGACAACCGTAACTTCGACACATCGAAGTTCGACACAGTATATATATTTCAACAGACAATATTTGTGGTTCAAGAAAATAATTTATTAACGGTTTGCAGACGAGACAAGATGTCTGCTGTCCATTCCTCCCGGGAATAGGAAACATAAGAGTTAACGAACTTGGTATTGAGCAAGAATACAAACTGAAGGCGGCAAGACAAAACGTGCACACTGACGTCACTCGCGATCTGATTCCGCGCGTGCTGAAGGCGGTCGTCAACGCCTAACTACAGCAAAATGCAAACCAGAAGTAGATAAAATCACAGTGCACACGTGTAATGTCATCGCAAAGACACGGATCTATAATGTATCTCCGGAGTAGTCTCCCCTGTTGGAGACTAGAAGATGCAGTTATCTCCCCTTACTGAAGCCTGCTGGTGATGTCAGTTGGGCAGGATGTTGTATGGCTCACGTATACAGCTCTTGTATACGGGGGAAGTAGTGCAGAAAGACAAATGGGAAATGTACAGTACTGTTAGCTGCATGACAGCAATATCAGGTGACAAGCATGATTGGAAGACACTCAACTGAAATATAAGCTAACAAAATGTAATATAAAAACAAGGTGAACCCGCACCAAAGGAAATAGACAATTTTGGTCCAAGCTGAAACATGGTTTGTCCTTGAATATAATCTACAAGAACAGAATCAGCAACAACAAAACAAACTAGCAGATGAATTCTGGTATACTGGTATAATATATACATATAACTGGACTCACGTCTTAAACGTGATTTACAGCGGATGTCTAGGTGGAAACGGTGGGATCTAGACCATACAGAGGGTGGGTGGGTGAGTGAGGGAACGATGATGTTGGTGGGTAGAATACAAGCATTTAATACAAGGATGAGATGGAATGTGCCACACGCTGGATACAGTGTCTTCATACAAGTGATAAACTTCTAAAAGTAAAAGTGACAAAGACGTACTTGTAGTCAATGAAGCTATAATCAAAAACAAGTGAACCAGATAACTTTAATATACAATCTGCAAAAAACGACTTGGAAACTGCTATTAAACTAGTCAAAATGAACTACTTAGCAAGAAAAAGCTGCCAGTTTAGCATATGCTTCATATGAGTAAGTGCATCGATGATAGATAAACCCGCCTGTGTACATTATACACGAGTGTACAGCTGGGGGGTAAAAATACAATTTGAAGGAAACCTCTAAAGGATGCTGAAGTTGATTTTTGCAGAAAGTCCTCTCCCCATGGTCCTGGAACAATAAGAGTGTGGCAGGTGATTTAGAAGGTCGACAGAGGTCAACGGAAACAGCCCTGCACGAGTCTGGGGCTATTCCAAGAACATCTCTATATAACTCACGAATGACCATCAACACAAGACGATAGCGGAGAGTGGCCATTTTTACTTTTTTTTAACAAAATTCCTGGTAAAACTCGGATGATAAAATGACATCAGAAGACTCATCTGTTAGGGATTGACATATCCGGCCAATGATGGTCATCTTAGAAAACAGTTTGGTGTCTTAACAATAAATTAGAAAGAACTGGAATATGCCTGAATGACAGTTTATAGAATGAAACCTTAACGACCAGGAAAGTCATATGTGAGAGAATAAAAGATATCTTAACGACCAAATAAAATGCATTCTATGTTCCCATGATGGCATCTCCCTGAAAAGCCTGTTACCTTAACAACCAAATATAATGCATTCAAAGTTCCAACCATGTGACATATTTCCGAACAGCATGGTACCTTAACGACCAAATAAACACCATTCTTTGTTCCCTGATAACACCTCTCTCAAATGTCTGCTACCCTAACGACCAAATAAAACATCTAAGGTTCCCCAATGACATCTATCTGAACAGCCTGCTACCTTAACAACCAAATTAAAATGTGGTTAAGTATCCCCTAATGACATCTATCTGAACAGCCTGCTATCTTAACGACCAAATTAAAATGTGGTTAAGTATCCCCTAATGACATCTATCTGAACAGCCTGCTACCTTAACGGCCAAATTAAAATGTGGTTAAGTATCCCCTAATGACATCTATCTGAACAGCCTGCTACCTTAACGACCAAATTAACATGTGGTTAAGTTTCCCCTAATGACATCTCTCTGAACAGCCTGCTACCTTAACGACCAAATTAACATGTGGTTAAGTTTCCCCTAATGACATCTCTCTGAACAGGCAGCTACCTTAACGACCAAATTAACATGTGGTTAAGTTTCCCCTAATGACATCTCTCTGAACAGCCTGCTACCTTAACGACCAAATAGACACCCTTCAAGGTTCCCCTAATGACATCTCTCTGAACAACCTGCTACCTTAATGACCAAATAGACACCCTTCAATGTTCCCCTAATGACATCTCTCTGTAATGATTGCTACTTTAACGACCAGATGAAGTCTTCAATGTTCCCCTAATGGCATCTCTAATAAAAGCCTGATACATTAGCGACCGATGTAAAAAGCGACCTCAATAACGTAACGACAATTTCTGGTTCTACATGGTGAGCTTCCGGAATTAAATCAGATACAATTTCCTCACAATCGTCACTATGAAACATTGTCAGTGAACCAGGTGACAAGTACGTGATGTTTGGGGAAGATGTGATGTGAAAGGGGAGGCGGGATGTCAACGGTGGGCGTCTATGGGATACAGAAGTGAAGACGAAATACTACTAGGCTAAGGTTTGAGTGAGTGAAGGGGTTAGGGAATGACAGAGTTTCTTTCTACGTCACTTTGAACGGCATTCTATTATGCTGTGACGTTATTTTGAGGAAAGTCTAAACGCGGACCAACCTTTGCCACAATCTGAAAATCCTGAAAAGGATCCTGAAAAGAGAAAGGCCCATAACTCTTTACATAAAAGCATCTACGACATCCGTAATCCTAATAGAAGTGAGGGAGACTGGGGGATAAGACGAGACAAAATGGGGAGACGAGACGGGAAAGGGGGGTGGGGTAGGGGGGTGAGGGACATGTGAAAGAGGAAGGGATGTGACGAGGGAGAATTGGGAGTAAGAAGAAAGTAGATACAGACACTGGAAGGACTAGTTATTTCACTACACGTTTTGCTGCTTCTCAGATCAATTAAAGTATGGTATAAGCCAAAGTGTCAATAGGGATAAGTATAACGTCCACAGGATATCAAGTACTGCTCGTATGAACAGAATGCCGGTTTGATGGGCACAAGCTGCTGTTGAAGCACCGGACACAGCAACACACGCTGACACACCAAAACACCCCGTCAAGATTAAAAGAGACAAATATATCAGTTTTTAATTGAGAGCATGCAACCCTCCACAATTATCGCTATTATTATAAGGGTACATTAGCTACAGTCAAATTATCGCTTTGAGTACAACTCTCACCGGTGTGTGCTGAATGTGTACCCACGAGTGGTACAGATGGCATAAGCTGGTACTACGTCATAACACAACACGTCATCTAATAATGAAGAAGTCCTTCTCAGTGAATGTGTACTGATACATATGTACGTCTATTTCAGGAATGTGCGCGTGTGCTCTAGAACGTGAAGAACGTGCTGGGCATGTATGTAATATTAATTAGCTACTTTCACCAAAGTGACATTCGGGAAAGCTCGGTCATCATCGTTATTCCGACTTTTCGCTCAGTCCACCACTCTCAACCTTTCAGGAATGTATTCTCCTTCTTTAACATAAACCTTCCAAAATAATGGTTTTGTAAGACTTGCATATGAACTGAAGTGAAATAACGAAGCGTGAGCGAGAATCCCGATAGTCTAGGCTACAATTATCTCGGATATTAGGAATGCTACCGTCAAGGCAAGAGACACAGTACATATATTTGCAATTGCATATCACAAACCTTTCTATTACGCCTACCAATACAAAATCATTCAGTATAGGAACGCCATGCCTTGGCATTATATAAAACTGGTTAATCCGGCATTCCACGTAAACAGAACGGTTGTGAAATTCTTGAAGTCAACCCCCCCGCAACACTTTAAGTGAAACCCATAAAACTTGCATAGCATAAAAAGTGGATCGCATAGGATATTATGGCTGGTATATACATCCGGCGCTCGCGGCCAGAATTTTCAAATTGACAGGATCTGCACCTGCGCTACATACAGCTACAATGACATCATGCACAATATGCTAGTCGATTGATCAGTCGTGAGCCTGTATCTCAGGATTATTTGATGTTCTTCAAGAATTCAGAACAGATATTTCATTATTGCCAGTGTCATAGATTACGTTCCAGGAACAATTTAGTTTCTTTCCTCACAAGTGGTCAATTATATTGACCCTCTTTCGCAGAGATGGCGCTGTATTTGGGTAATCACTTCCGGTAACGTAATCATCATTGACTGATACGGAATGTGCACATGTCACTTGCTCACAACTATCCCGACGGAGATGCAGTGACGTCATTGAACCCGCAACGTGGTTTGTGGCGGTAGCGGCTGCTGGTCATCTCACCAGCCGTATTACGAAACCTTGACCCGACATTGTTTCCGCACCACCATCACAGAAATTGAAGTGAAGCGAATTTACGACTGCCTGTATCTAGAGCTGAGTCTATCGTGTTAACTGACCCTACACAATGGCGCTTACAGGATTGTCTCCCCTTCGTATCCTACCCCGTCATCAGAATGCGCGCGCACGGAGGGATCTCTTCTGAGGCTGTAGTCTGACAATGACTTCTGGAGCACGATGTCCGTCATGGAATTTGCGTCCGAAAACTTGGCAATCGGAACAAAAATTGGAGACGACTTGTCCTTTAGTTCATTGTCATGGATGCCGACTGAACCGTTCATGTAAGGTTCTACCAGGGTAGAAGCTGCAGAGGCCTTCCTGACGATGGTGTGAGAACTGTCATTGATCATTGTGAAGGAGTCGTCTGCGTCCTTGTGGGAGTCCCCGCGAGACTGGACATGCCGGTAGAACAATGTGAAGTTATTGGAAATGACGGGGATAGTAAGCGCCACCAACAGCACACCACTCACAGAACAAGCTGTCCCAACGATGTAACCTATTGGTGTTTTGGGATACACGTCACCGTACCCAACTGTCGTCATAGTTATGATAGCCCACCAAAAGCCCACTGGTATTGTGTTGAAAGTATCACTTGGGCTAGTAGCATCCTTTCTTTCTGCATAGTAAATCATTGTGGCGAAGACAAGCATTCCAATAAGAAGAAATATAAACAACATCAAAAGCTCCTGTAAACTGGCCTTCAAAGAATAAACAAGCACTTTGAGAGCCTGGTAATGTTTAACAAGGTGGAAGATACGAAACATCCTAATGATGCGCAGTATAAACATGATCTCAATGACGAGTCGCTCGTTCAGGTAGCACGCCTGGAGAGCAGAGTGTTGAAATATCACTTGAACGTACAGTGGTACAAGGGCTAGCAAGTCAATTATATTCATCATTGACCGAACAAACTTGAGCTTGTTGGGGGCAAATATGAACCTGAGTATGAGCTCCAATGTGAAGAAGACGGTGCAGATAACGTCCAAGACGTTGAGGGCTTCGTGGGAACTGAGAACGCTTGCGATGCCCTCTTGTTGACCGTCGCACGGTTGGGAGACGTTGAGTCGTGGTCGTAGTCCCGGCAGTGTTTCCAGACAGAATCCCGCGATTGACGTCACCACAAACAGAAACGACGTCACACCGTACACCTGTGGGAGAGAAAAGAACAAGCTTATTAATAGTGCATATGGTTTACTTTTAGAAATATTCCAGCAATATTCCAGCAATATCACGGCGGGGGAGACCAGACATGGTCTTTACACATTGTAGCCATATGGGGAATCGAACCTTGGGTCTTCAGCTTGACGAGCAGACGCTTTAACCAGTAGGCTACCCCGCTGCCCCATGTGGATTTGAAAGAAAATGTGAGTACATAATAATCCATGTACAAGAGTACTGTGATAATAATAATAATGAGATTAATAATGACAATACTTAAACGAAACATATAAATATTTTGCGGTCAAAGATCATACATCAATATAATCAATCAAGTGACATTGCAATTCAATCAACCAACTACACACAAGCTGATTTTTTATAGTATCATTTTTCATCATTACATGCAATTGTAGTGTAACACCCAATAAAAAGCAGTTACTTCAGATGAAAAGTATAGATTGGTTTTTAATTGGATCTTTATGACCAAGAAGCTCATCTGAAAACCGCTTTGCAAACATCAGAAAGCTATGATTATTTCGCCGGATTTGTGTGGTAAAGGTCAACGCGGAGCTATGGGCGAGAGCGTTCAAGCTGTTGGTTAAGATGTTGCACAGACAGCGAACTTCTGACGAAGTGACATCAAAGTCAAGTCTGTCGATGGCGCCGCCGCGAGTCACAAACTCATCACTCCGTAGATTAGAGCCACCGTTACTCGATAGAGGGAGCCACTGAAAGATGCGTGCGCAGCCAGGCTAAGATCAAAACAGCGTATCGAAATTCAAATTATGCGAGGAATAACATGCTTTTTGAGATGCTGAAGAAAACGGATGTTTAAGATAAATGGTTGCCCAACACGCGATAGAAACTCCCGTCGGTAACCAGGTATCGATTGCGTGATTTCCTATGATACTGTAGTCACTAGGCTGTGTTGAGGGAACGGTGTCAGGGAGACTGGAGCAATGGCTGCAGGGCGTGCTGTGTCAAGGTGGGAGGTGGAGCACTGTGCAACATAGAGGTGGTCATGTTGTAGGGGTTGGGTGATGATGGTGTTGTAGAGGATTGGTGATGTTGTAGCGGATGGATGGATAATGATGATGATGATGGTGGTAAGGGATGGGTGATGGTGATGTAGTGGTTGGTGATGTTGAGGATGGATGATGGTGATGTAGGGGATGCATGATGGTGATGTTGTAGGGGATGCATGATGGTGATGTTGTAGGGGATGCATGATGGTGATGTAGGGGATGCATGATGGTGATGTTGTAGGGGATGCATGATGGTGATGTTGTAGGGGATGCGTGATGGTGATGTTGTAGGGGATGCATGATGGTGATGTAGGGGATGCATGATGGTGATGTAGGGGATGCGTGATGGTGATGTTTGAGGGGATGCATGATGGTGATGTTGTAGGGGATGCGTGATGGTGATGTAGGGGATGCATGATGGTGATGTAGGGGATGCATGATGGTGATGTAGGGGATGCGCGATGGTGATGTTGTAGGGGAAGGATGATGGTGATGTTGTAGGGGAAGGATGATGGTGATGTTGTAGGGGATGCGTGATGGTGATGTAGGGGATGCATGATGGTGATGTTGTAGGGGATGCATGATGGTGATGTTGTAGATGTAGATGGTGATGTAGGGGATGCATGATGGTGATGTTGTAGGGGATGCATGATGGTGATGTTGTAGGGGATGCATGATGGTGATGTAGGGGATGCATGATGGTGATGTAGCGGATGCATTGTGGTGATGTAGGGGATGCGTGATGGTGATGTTGTAGGGGATGCATGATGGTGATGTAGGGGATGCATGATGGTGATGTAGGGGATGCATGATGGTGATGTTAGGGGTGCATGATGGTGATGTAGGGGATGCGTGATGGTGATGTTGTAGGGGAAGGATGATGGTGATGTTGTAGGGGATGCGTGATGATGGTGATGTTGTAGGGGAAGGATGATGGTGATGTAGGGATGCATGATGGTGATGTTGTAGGGATGCATGATGTGATGGGGATGCATGATGGTGATGTAGGGGATGCGTGATGGTGATGTTGTAGGGAAGGATGATGATGTTGTAGGGGATGCGTGATGGTGATGTTGTAGGGGATGCATGATGGTGATGTAGGGATGCATGATGGTGATGTTGTTGTAGGGATGCATGATGGTGATGTTGTAGGGGATGCGTGATGGTGATGTGTAGGGGATGCGTGATGGTGATGTTATTTGTAGGGGAAGGATGATGATGGTGATGTTGTAGGGATGCGTGATGGATGTAGGGGAAGGATGATGGATGATGTTGTAGGGATGCGTGATGGTGATGTAGGGGATGCGTGATGGTGATGTTGTAGGGGAAGGATGATGGTGATGTTGTAGGGGATGCATGATGGTGATGTAGGGGATGCGTGATGGTGATGTTGTAGGGGATGCATAATGGTGATGTTGTAGGGGATGCATGATGGTGATGTTGTATGGGATGCGTGATGGTGATGTTGTAGGGGATGCATGATGGTGATGTAGGGGATGCATGATGGTGATGTAGGGGATGCATGATAGTGATGTAGGGGATGCGTGATGGTGATGTTGTAGGGGAAGGATGATGGTGATGTTGTAGGGGATGCGTGATGGTGATGTTGTAGGGGATGCATGATGGTGATGTAGGGGATGCATGATGGTGATGTTGTAGGGGATGCATGATGGTGATGTTGTAGGGGATGCGTGATGGTGATGTAGGGGATGCGTGATGGTGATGTTGTAGGGAAGGATGATGGTGATGTTGTAGGGGATGCGTGACGGTGATGTAGGGGAAGGATGATGGTGATGTTGTAGGGGATGCGTGATGGTGATGTAGTGGATGCGTGATGGTGATGTTATAGGGGATGCGTGATGGTGCTGTAGGGGATGCATGATGGTGATGTAGGGGATGCATGATGGTGATGTAGGGGATGCGTGATGGTGATGTTGTAGGGGAAACATGATGGTGATGTTTTAGAGGATGCGTGATGGTGATGTAGGGGATGCATGATGGTGATGTTGTAGGGGATGCGTGATGGTGATGTTGTAGGGGATGCGTGATGGTGATGTAGGGGATGCGTGATGGTGATGTTGTAGGGAAGGATGATGGTGATGTTGTAGAGGATGCGTGATGGTGATGTAGGGGATGCATGATGGTGATGTTGTAGGGGATGCGTGATGGTGATGTTGTAGAGGATGCGTGATGGTGATGTAAGGGGTGCGTGATGGTGATGTTGTAGGGGATGCGTGATGGTGATGATGTAGGGGATGCGTGATGGTGATGATGTAGGGGATGCGTGATGGTGATGTAGGGGATGCATGATGGTGATGTAGGGGATGCATGATGGTGATGTAGGGGATGCGTGATGGTGATGTTGTAGGGGAAGGATGATGGTGATGTTTTAGAGGATGCGTGATGGTGATGTAGGGGATGCATGATGGTGATGTTGTAGGGGATGCGTGATGGTGATGTTGTAGGGGATGCGTGATGGTGATGTAGGGGATGCGTGATGGTGATTTTGTAGGGGAAGGATGATGGTGATGTTGTAGAGGATGCGTGATGGTGATGTAGGGGATGCATGATGGTGATGTTGTAGGGGATGCGTGATGGTGATGTTGTAGAGGATGCGTGATGGTGATGTAAGGGGTGCGTGATGGTGATGTTGTAGGGGATGCGTGATGGTGATGATGTAGGGGATGCGTGATGGTGATGATGTAGAGGAAGGATGTTGGTGATGAAGAGGTTTGGCTATGGTGATGACAGGGGATGCGTGATGCGAATGTACTAGAGGAAGGACGATGGTGATGTAATAGAAGATGGATGATGGTGATGAAGGTTGCGGATGGGTGATGGTCATGGCCCTTGAGTTAATGTAACTTGAGTATGTAGGTTCTTAGACTGTATTTTCATATTTGTAGGTAAGACCAGTTGATAGCTCCAAAGAGATTGCCAGAGTACGGCCTGAACCCAGTATTGTATACGGTATTACCAGATTACTAAATTCGGTCTAGTAACATTCATAATCCTGATCCGTGGTACTTGGATAGAAAAGGTCTCCAGCACCTATGCAAAATGTTTATAAAAAAACGTGAATCGGGTGGTCAGATTGGTGGCGTGGTTATTTGTATGTCTTCGTATCCTGGCGTCTTGGACGCTGATCATAATATCAATCACTGGTTTGTCAAGTTCAAATTCGATTTACAGGTCGTTTTTATACCAATCAAACAAATACACACACATCTGAATCATACAAGCATATTTCTGAGTACACAATGAGAATATCTGGAGTTAGCGCCCATCTCTGTGCCCTCTCATATAATAGCAGGCATGCTGTGATTCAATCAGATCTTGTTGACAACTCCGATAGAGTACAGACCCCTTTAAAACAGAAATAATGAAAGACGTAATACTGAGCTCTAAGTCAACAGAAATAATCCTTAAAACATGTCTCCCAACCGACCACCAATGATTTCCTATGAACGATATTGACATCCCCGCCTTGCTGACGCTAGGAGATTCATAGTGTCCATCTGCCTCGGGTTAGCTGTAGTGGGTTAACACGGGTCTCCCCTCTTACACCATCGAAAATATGTTGAACTGTTTGGCTAATCAATGTTAAGGCTGACTGGGGAATGATTCTCTAATTAAGGACGGTTAGTTTGGGGGGGGGGAGGAGAGGAGGGGGAGACACCATGCGCGACATAGTGGCGCATGGGGTGTGCACAGAGCGAAACACTCATCTCGTGTGTCCTGATCACAAATTAGCTCCACCAACAGATCCGAATGATACATAATGCACGTACATTCAAACCAGCCACGCAGGGAACAGACATAATTTTGATTAATGGAATTTGAGACGAGGAAATAAAAGTTTCACTTTTTTCGGATATGAAGCCGGGTTGTCGGGAGAAGGCGTGCAAAAGGCCAATGATACGTTGCAAGAATGACTCACGTCAGTTTTTAACTCTAGGTCA